ATGAATTTGCTTGAATTGTTCATTTAATTTTGATTTATGTCAGATCATATTATCAATAAATTCATCCATTTCTTTTACATTTTCCTTATTTTAAAGTATGTTGTTATGATTCTCTGAAGTTCCTCAGTGTCTGTTGTAATGTCTCTCTTTTCATCTTGAGTTTTATTAATTTTGGTCTTCTCTCTGTGTCTTTTGGTTAATTTGGCTAAATGTTTGCCAATATTGTTGATGTTCTCAAAAGGAATCATCTCAATTTTATTGATTCTTATACTGTTTGTTAATTTCACTTCATTGATTTCAGTCCTGAGATTTATTATTTCTTTATATTTACTCTTTGTAGGTATTAGTTATCTTGCAAAATAAGATAAACAAAGAATGGCCTGGAATGCAGGCAAAATGGTTATTGTACTGTTAATCAAATTTGGGATAAGAGAAATAAAGACAGGGCTGGGGATATCGCTCAGTGTGTAAAGCACTTGCTGAGCAAGCATGCGGACCTGATCTTGGGTTCCCATCATGGACATAAAATCTGTGCCCTGTGGCACATATTTGAAACATCAGTGCTGGGTAAGGTACAGAGACGGACAGATTCTAGAGTTTCACTGGCCATTCAGTCTACCTAAATGGCAACCTCTATTTTCAGCAACCAACAAAAGATCTTCTCTCAAAATTAAAACAAACATAACAATTGGGGAGAGCAAAAAGGGAAGAGATCAGATGTTGACTACTGGCTTCCTCATGCTCATTCATACTTGAGCACAGCCCCTCACACATAGGAACATACATGTATACATCCTCCCATCTCTTTCTCATACACACACACAAAAAAACCTTAAATAAATAGAGAAATATATAAATAAGAGAAACAAGACAACGTTAAGAGTTGGAGAATATTCAGCTGTTCTTGAATTCAAATATAAACAAGCATGCAACATGATCCTGCATTAATTTAAACAAAGTTAATTAATAATACTGTCAATACTTATTGCTGTGTGGTATAACATCACTGTGTTACAGTGATATACCACTCTTTTTCACCTAGTGAAAACATCCTGAAAAGAAATTTGGCAGCAAATATAAAGTAATAAAAATTAATATATATTTTTGATCTAGAAACCCAACTTTTTGGATATAGCTCAAGGATATTATTCAAAATAAAAATTTAAAAATCTATTTGTATAAAGATATTTATAGTTGTGCTACATAACAAGCAAAAACTGGAAAGAGGCCAAATGTTCACTAGAGGAAGGATGCTTAGTTAGACTTTGGCTCATTAATGCAATGGATATTTATTTCTACTAAGAATGACAATTATGAGAAGTATGCAGAAATAAGGGCTATATGAAGCAATGTATAAAAATTCAGTGTTCAAAATGATGTCTCTACCATGATCACATATATGTAACACTGTACTATGTAATATTGTACCTGTATAACCAAGAGAGTTGGGAAAGGCTATGTGCTGCTAATTTACAGTGCTGATGTTTTTGCTCTGTTGGTTAAGCTTCTGGGATATTTCTTTCACACACCTATATTAAGAAAATTAAATCCTTATTTTGTCACATAAAAGAAAAATATTCATTTATTTTTTCTTCGTCCTAAATGGATTTTTCTGGTTTTTGTTTGTTTTTTGTTCGACTTCAAGTTGCCACCCTAATACCCTAGCCACATGCTTTGTTCTTCAGACTTTCTGTTGCTGTGGCCAACACTCGAGAGAAACACAGTAAGAGAGAGAGGGTTTATCTGGTCTCATGGGTTCAGGCCATGGCTGGCTGATTTTGTTGTGTATGATGTAAAGCAGAACACCATGGTGGCTGGGAAGCAGAGAAATAGGAAAGGCCAGGGCAAGCTATATCTCCTCAAAACAACCTTCCACTGTCCATGACCCAATTCCTCTAGCTAGACCTTACTTCTTAATGACTCTAACACTTGCTTAGACAGTGCCACCCTCCAGAAACCAAGCCTTCAACACATGAGCCTGTGAGGGACACTTCATAGTCAAATAACAGCACACACTCGTCTCTCTCACCACTGTGTGAAGTTTCTCAGTTCTTTCCTAATACACTACCTTGCATGCACTCACATCTTAGCATGCACACAAACTCAACATCTAATCACACTTACTATAGTGAGAACAGGGTCTCCTCATAAATATAACTTTTTAAACCTCTCAATGCAAATAGTTGTTTCTTATCTTATATTATCATGGGAGAATTGTCCTCTGCAGACGGTCAACAATTTTGCTTTTCATTTCTTCCCTTTAAAGGATGTCTTAACTTGGCTGTATTCCCTTTTTCTTCTCTCTGGGTATAACTTACCCCAGAAACCTGTTCTGCTCTATTCGGCATTAAAGGAAGGAGCAGCCACCTTCCCTGATGACACAACACCCTTCAGTTGTCTTTGGGTTTCTTCACAGTAAATGTTATTCTAAGTATTCTTGCCCACATTATTGCTGGCTGTCTCTCATTCCCCACTCTGCAAGCCACTGCAACCCAGCTTCAGCCACCCTCTCCTGAGCTGTCTCTTGAGGTATTAGGAACTGACATGCGGCCAAATCCAGAAAACACCTTTCTGTCATCCTGTTAGTTAGAAGCCTCTGTCTTTATTCTATTTTCTTCATGTGCCTGATTCTTCTTACACCTTCTTACTTCTGCAGGTTCTTCAGGCTATCACCTATGCCTTTCTTTTCTTTTTGTATGCTAACTTATCTTCTCCATTCCCATGATTTTCAATTTCACCTTTGTGCTAAAAACTTCTCAAATGAATAGATATATCTAACAGAGAACCTGATCTCTTCGCACTTATTAAATGATATTCTTGACATCTATATTTAGTTTCATAGCACTAAAATGAAGTCTCAGTTGTATTCTCAGAACTACTTAGTCAGAAGGACTCCTGTCTCTGTTTAAACACATGGCACCATCCACTCTCTACTATCACATCATTGTATGTTTTACAATGTACAACCCTATCCCATAGGCTCTTCTTCCAGCTGCCTGCCACCACTCTACTCCAGGCCTCCACTACTTCCTCCCTGTATTGCTGAAGCAACCCTATCATCAATTGTCCTGATTTCTCTCTAATCTATTTCCCACAGTATACCCAACATCCTTTTCATATAATAGTTTCCTTCCCCAGCTTAAAACATCCTGTGTTACCCTGAATGCAATTAGAAGAAACAGCAAGTCCTTCCTTTTGCCTACACACCCTGATAGAACACACTTGCTCTTCCTTACTTCTCTGACACTCTAGCCAGCCCAGCCAGCTTTCAATTTCAGGGTCTCTGTATGGTTTTCATTTTAAAACTGTATAAACAAAAATAACCACTGATACTGTTCACTTCTTCACTTCTCATGCTGTGCAGTCAACCCATCATTCTTTATATACACCTTTCAAGGAAATGTCTTCATGGCATTCCTAATTCAATCAAGCCACATCTCTTAGTATAACCATGTACCTACTTCATACTGTTCTGGTTTTACATTTCTTGTTAATGTCTATGTCTCTCCCAACTTAGTGAAGAGCTTGGGATGGCAAAGAATGTATCTGTTTTGTTTAATATTATCTCAGTTGCTAGCATGTTACTTAGAACATAGTTGTTGCTCAAGAAATATCTTTAGAAGAATAAACAACTGATATCATTTCTTACTATTAGAATGGCAATGTAAATCATATGGGGACACATTAATCATTAAAGTATAGATTTAAAGGATAGAGAAATTAAATTTTTATTATGAACTTGTGAAATATGAATAAGTACATTGTGACTGATCTTTATATACAAAGTATAACAGGAAAAATAAAAGCCACCTCTTCATGTCTGTCCTGCTCCTCATCACACACTTGCAAAGAGAAATGTCAAAGTTCAGGGAAAGCATGCAAAAGGAAGGCCTAGCTAGTGAGTAGGGACTAAGGCCATGCACTTTTTCAACAAAAAGGAAGTAAATTGCCCTTGAGCAAGAAAAGGGGAGATGGAAAGAAGAAGAGATTAAGAAAGGTAGTTTAGGTAAAAATTCAATGATTTATATGGAAAAATGCCTAATATTCAACTTCACCTTTCTGGTGTTGTTATTATATAAATCCCTCTGCCTTTCCTAGACCTTAAATAAAGCCTGCTGTGTTCACAAGCTCATGTCAAGACTAGGTAATCAGAAATGAAAGGAGTAACTATTCAGGAGACACCATTTTCTTTCTTTTCATCTCTGTTTATGCCTGCAGGACATTTATTTCTCAAACTGCTTGCTGTACACATGTCATTGTAAATGGTCTTACTAACTTTGAACTGGAGGGATAACTATTCCTATTTAGACTGCATACCACATATAACACGTGAATCTCCCCACCTCATTGCTCTTATACTTCTTCCAGTTACATTTTCATTTTGAGCCTTGATTCAACATATTAAGCCTCCCCCACTCCACTGTGGTTCCCTCTGATTGCAATATTTGCTGGCAACAAATTCATGGTCAGGCATTTCTTCCAACCCTATATAACTAGACTAGATCTGAATGGGCATATCCATTATTTGGTTTGAAGCCAGTTGGCTGAAAGAACTGAGTTAGAGAACATTTCACATTATTCTTTGTACCAACGCACAAAACATGTTTGTCAGGTCAGTTAAAATTAAGCAAGTGATAACAATAGTACAGAGTGATGTCTGCTACTGAAGTATTAGTTTGGTTCTATTTTTATTTGTAAATATTTGTAATGTTTTCCAATCTTTTAAATATATGAAATTATTCAATTAAATCCTATATTAAATGATTTTGTTTGCAAATTAGGCATTCTGTTCAAGCCACTTAGAGATATGCCTCCTCCCACCCCTGACTCTAGGAGCCCTCCAGATGACTGCTATTGCTTGTGGAAGAATTCCTGTTGGGTAGTTTGAGAAAGCCTCTCTTTTCTTCTTAAATATGAAAATAGCCAGAATAAACACAAATACTTCATTTCATTATATTTAACGAGCAATACTGTAAGGACAGCTAAATAATCTGACCTACCCATCTAGGAGAGCAATGACGTTCTTCCTGGGCCGTCCAATATTAGGGCCATACAAGCTGGCTCTGGAGTATATCCGGATGGGTTGTAGCAGCCTCTTCAGCTGGATGTAATCCTTTCCCAACTGGCTACCATTTACTGCCCGGCCATGCATGCTCCGATAGTTATTTGGCTCTAGATTAAAAACAGACATATAAATTAGAATAGAGAAGAGTGAGATTCTGCCAGCCCTTTCCTTTGCATAGAACTGTGCCTTTTTCTTGCTAGCATGAATAAAATAACAAAAGGAGGACATAGTTTTCTTAAGGAATACAGAAGCTGTCATGTTAGCTGTGCCAACTTGATGTTTCATTCATTCCAAACTTATCTTCATAAAACTGACCCAAATCACAAACAAGACCATACTTATTTTAGTGATACTTTGTAATGAGTGGTAGTCACTAGAGTACCATCTCCCCAAATTTGTGCACCAGAACTTGGTGAGCTTATTTGGAAATAGAGTCATTGAAGATTTAATGTTACTATGTAGTCACAGGATTAGGGTGGGCCCTACATCTAATAACTGCTGTTTGCAACACAAAGGAAAAGGACCTTCAGATACTCAGACAGGGGACAAAAGGCTGTGTGACAACAAACACAAAGCCTGGAGGGATGCTACTGTGCTAAAGAAGTCTGGCAGTTCCAGCAGCTAGGAGAGAGGAATGGAACATATTCTCCTTCAGAGCTTCCAGAAGAAAGCAACCATCCTGATGTTTTGATTTCAGACTTGTGGCTTCATAAACAGTAAGAGAAAACTTGCTTCTTTTGTTTTAAGTCATAGTAATTTGTTATTGCAAAGCCTAGGAAACTAGTGCAAATGGTAAGAAGGGTTACCTTTATAAGTAGAATTATTGCACACAAATTTAAGAAAAACACCCTTGCTATTCACTAGTAACAAAGTAGCTGAGTGAAATCATTTCCAGCAAACCACTTTCCCTGAGGTTACAACTGCAAGGATATGAAAGGTTCTAAAAATCAGCAGCTCTTAAGAGTTAGAGGGAGCTAAACTTGAGATTCCCCAAAGCCATTATCTCAGATAGTTTGAAGCTGTGATTTATGTAGAGACAAGGCATAGATTATCAGACTTACATGAAATTTTAATAGAAATTTGGGGGAATAAGACTGCCACAGTGAAAACTAATAATCTCTTTTATATACCCTTTAATACTGAAGGCTGCATATTCGGGGGGAATTGTAGAGAACTTTAGCTATCTGCATATTCCCACATGAATATGGACCCTAGGGCTCTCACAGGGGAGACACAGAATGGCACGTTAATATCCAAGTATTTACTGTTTCCCATTCATCAGCATATCTACTGGCCTGGCCTTACTGTCTCAAGTTTAGTAAGCACATTTCTGATCAATTACTGGCTTATAATTAAGTTGTATCAATATGAAGGCAACCACTAGAAAGTTGACCTGAAAAACATCTTTAAAAAATTAATGAAAAAACAAACATTTAATGTGTGTTGATGCTTTGTTTGTGTGTATGTCTGTATAGCAAGGGCACGCGGTGCCCTCAGAGGCCAAAAGAGGCTGTCAGATCCCTGGGACTGGAGTTACAAAAGGTTATGATATACTCTGTCGGTGCCAGGAATTGGAGTTGGATCCTCTGGAAGAGCAGATAATATTCTTGACCACTGAGCCACCTTTCCAGTCCCTAAGGGATTAAGTTTTTAAATTGGAAATATAAGTAAGTACCTGATGCAAGAGTAAAAGACTAGAGCATTGGTCCTGGTAAGTTAAAAACCAAACAAAAAGTAATAAACTCAACCTCTGGGATGGACAACTATAATTTCTGAATTCCTCTAATATATTATCTAAAATGAATTACTTTCAAGATCAAAATTATGAGGCACAGAATGAAAATAGGAAAGTGTTAACATACACAAGAAAAGAAAAAGAACAGTCAATAGTAAGTGTCTCTTTGAAGCCTTTAACATTAGATTATTTGGCATATAAGACACTATAAAAAGAATCAAATGGAAACTCCTGAACTGAAATGACGCAGTGCATATAAAAAAACAAAAAAAATATTTAATATTGAGTTTTAAATCAGCAACAAAAGAACTAAGAAGAGAGTGAGATGATAAACCCCAAATTCTGGGAAACACTACACTAAAACAATGTTTCTGTGTTAATCTGTATTCAGATTAGTGCTGTTTGAAAACAGATGGTAATGAGTTAAGTCATCATAAATTTTATGTGACCTTGTGCATATCTGTATAATCAAACAGTTACTGATAAATTAAATTTAGGGACTGGAGACATGGCTCTGTGATTATGAGCACTGGCTGGCTACTCTGCTGCAAATGGAGACTGCACTTTTGTTTTCTGGCCACCCTGACCCAAATAATCACACAGAAACTATAATAATTACAACACTGTTTGGCCAATGGTTCAGGCACATTCCTAACTAGCTCTTACACCTTAAATTAACCCATTTCAATTAATCTATGTACTTCCACGAGGCTGTGGCTTACTGGTAAGGTTCTACCTTCTTTCTCCTTTGGCAGCTACACGGTGTCTCCCTGACTCTACCGTCTTTCTCCCTGCATTCAGTTTAGTTTTTTCACCTAGCTCTATTCTGTTCTGCCATAGGCCAAAGTAGCTTCTTTATTTTTTATTTTTTTTTTTGCTTTTTTGAGACAGGGTTTCTCTGTGGTTTTGGAGCCTGTCCTGGAACTAGCTCTTGTAGACCAGGCTGGTCTCGAACTCACAGAGATCCGCCTGCCTCTGCCTCCCAAGTGCTGGGACTAAAGGCGTGCGCCAGAAGTAGCTTCTTTATTAACCAATGGTAATAAAACATATTCATAACATACAGAGGGGAATCCCATATCACTCTGGTTTTGCAGAGGATCTGAATTTGGTTACCAATACCCACATGGCAGCTATTTATCTTTAATATCAATTTCAGGGTATCTCATTCCCTTTTATGACCTCCATGCACATACATGCAGGCAGAGTACCCATACACATAAAATAAAAATAGCAAATATATCTTATTACAAGAAAGAAGGTAACTTTAATTTTTTGGTACACAAAAGTTTACCAGTTGTTAAAGATGAAAACATATTATACACTAAAGAGATATATAGACATGTTTATTTTAAATAAAGAATTAAACCATAGGGATGGAGAGACATAAGAGCCAGTTAAGGGTACTGGCTGATCTTTAGGAGGATCAGAGATCATTTCCCAGCATGAACACAGTTGTAACTCCAGCCACAAGGGACCTGATACCATTTTCTGGCCTTCTTGGGCATTGTGCTCACATAGTGCACAGACATATTTTCTGGTAAAGCACCTAATATACACCAACAAATAAATATTAAATCTTGGATGAATATTAGATCCTGAAGAACATAAGTATCTTCCATGTTTTCAGAGTTGATTGATACTCTGACTATATAATCATCAATATTTCCAACACTTTTTTGTGAATAAATAAAAGTACAAAATGACTTGTAAAATGTAGAAAAATTGTGCTTGGACCCATTCAGAAAATTATTAAAAAATTCTGTCCTAATCTTAAGCAAAATTAACTTAATAATTTTTAAAAATGAAACTCAAGTTAGCATTCAAATACCAGCTTTCAAAACCAAACTTTCTGACATAATCCAATCTGGAAACAATATTAATTTGCTATTTTAATACTGAGAAGTAATGTCACAAAATATTAGAAATCTTTGCTCTCCATAATTATTATATACATTTTTTTTGTAAGAGCTGAAAACTGTATTTAGGAAGAAATTCATAATTCACAGCAGTTTCAAATCTGAGCTGAGGTGTGACAGGCAGCATTCAGGGTGCCCAAGACAAAGGCAAATACAGTTCAAAGCATGTGCAGTATGTGCTCAGAGCCAAGTCATGTGCTGCAGCACAGCCGAGTGCTACCAGAAACACCCTGGTCTAGAACATTTGATTTTTGTGACGGTTTTTATCTGTCAACTTGACACTATCTAGAATCACCCTGTATTGGGTAGGCCTGTGGCACGTTCATTGGGGATTGTCTTGATAGTAGCAACTGAAGTGGGAAGATCCAACCCACTGTGGATGGTACCACGTCTAGGTTGTGGGTCATTACACCCCTCCCCGAAGACTCAGGGATCTATGTAGAAGAGGAGGCAGAAGGATTATAAGAGCTAGATGTAGTAATGACTCCAAGGAAACAGAACTTGCAGACCAAAAGGACTCATGTACCTATGAACTCATAGAGACTATGGCAGCACTCATAGGACCTGCACAGCTTCAAGCCAGGCAGGATCTCAGGACTGAGAAGGACAAGTGGATGTGAGGTAGCATCTATAATGAAGAAATCTACAGCAAAGGAAAACCATCAGTTTATTCCAATGGAATGTTATGGAGTATATCAACCACACTTCAGGGCAGGACCCATGGAGGAGTTGGCTTACACAAACAAGCTCCATGTTTTGGTTTGAGTTTTGTGAGCTTTTTGTTTCTCGTTGTTTTGGTTTTTTTTTCCTTCCTTTTCATTTGTTGGTTTGTTTAATGTTTGTTCTTGTAAAGTTTTGTGGGAACATGGAGGAAGATAGAATATGAAGTTGAATGGTTAGGGAGGATCTAGGAGAAGTTGGAGGAGAGTAAAATAGGTTCAAATTTGTGTATAAAAATTCTTTTGATTAAAAAAATAGAAAAAAATGAAAAAGGAGACTAGGAAGATGCCTAAGTGATTAAGCACACTTACTTAGCAAGTAAGCAAGAAGACCTGAGTTTAAATCCCTCTCTCCTATATAATAAGCAGAGGCTCTACATGCCTGTACCCAGTATTGCAGGGTGAAGGCAAGTTGAACTGAGAGACTGCTGGCCACCCAGTCTAGCAGAAAAAAGGCAAGCTTCTGGTCCAGTGAACACCCTATTGCAAAGCAATAAGATGGACAGAAATTGAGGACGGTACCTGATATGCTCTTGTCTTTCTGTTTACACACACACACAAATGAAATCTTACCAACATGACCACTTAAACCTGCACAAGGACATGCCAAAGTAGACAAGGGGAGACTATGCAGCTTAAACCCTAAACAAAAGGAGTATAAACAACTAAAGAATGCTGAGTGGGAGAAACAGTTTTCTCTGGGAAACAGCATACCAATTAGTTTTCCAGTAACAAAT